GCACCGGAAGGCCCTTCTTCTGGCTGGACACACTCATATGGCAAATGCTTTTTTTTTTTTTTTTTTTTTTTTTTGTTTGAGAACGGAAGTCTCGCTCCTGTCGCCCGGGCTGGAGTGCAAGTGCCGGATCCTCAGCCTCTGCCAGCCCGTTCCGCCTCCCGGAGTTTGCGGGCGCCATTCTCGCGTTCCCTGCCTCAGCCTACCCACGTCTAGCGGGGACCTTACAGGCGCCCCGCCACTGCGCCGGGCGCCGGAGCGCCGCCCCCGGCCGCCCGCTGCCCGGGTCTCTTCCATCCCCTTCGGCTCCTCGCTTTACGCTCAGAGACGGGGTTTCACCGTTACGGCGCCCCCCGATGCGTCTTCGATCCCTTCCTCGACCTCGTGATCCCGCACGGGGCAAAGTCTCGCCTCCCAAAGTCGCGGCTGGGATTACCCCGCGGCTTTGAAGCCCACGGCTCGCCCGGCCCTACAAATGTTCATTTTATACCGGCCCTGCCCCTGAGTGCAGGCGCGGGTGGCTCATGCCTGCACCAGTCCCAGCACTTTGGGAGGCTGAGGTGGAGGACACATCCTCGCCCAGGAGGTTTTGAGACCCAAGTCCCTAGGCAACATATTGGACCGACCCAGCCTCCCCTATTTTTTAATATATTTTTTTAAAAAGGAACTGCGAGGCCTGGGCACCGGTGGCTCAACGCCCTGTCATCCCAGCATCTGGAGGCAAAGCCAGCCGCCCGAATCACCTGCGTCAACGGAATGTTTTGAGAACCAGCCCTGGCCACAGCACCTAGTCGAAATGCGTCGCTCTTCTACTAAAATACCCAATGTGGAGCCCCAGGCATCGATTGCGGGTTGCCCTGAATCCCAGCTTACCTGGGAGGCTAGGCAGGCGCTCACTTTGAACCCCCCGGCGCAAGAACGTGAGGTTTGCAGTGAAGCTGAAGTCGGTTGCGACCTCTGCACTGCAGCCCTGGGCCAACCAGAGCTGGCGGAGACTCTGGTCAAAAAGCCCAAAAAAAAAAAAAAAAAAAAAAAAAAACATTTTATAGTGTGTCCAGCCAGAAAGGTGTGAGTGTCCACCCACTGCGTCCTCCCACAGTGTGTGCATCTCACCTGACCCACCCCCCGCCCTTCCCCTAGGTTTTCCTGAGCTAACCCCTCTTATCGTGACAGTTGTTGAGGCGTGAGCTCCCCTTGAACCTGCTCTGCCTCTTCCTGTCTCACTGGGTTCCTCCAGGCCTTGCCCCCAGCCATTGCTGTGCACACCTCAGCCCCCTTGGCCCCCTTCCTGTTCACTGCT